TATCGATCTACCCATGTTTCCATTAAAATTCCTTGCTAAGTTGGTGGACTACCCTGTTAGTGACTAGACTCTGACCAAGGGCACCATGAAAGAAGAGAAGAGAAGAAGTGTGCGAGATGCACCAAACGGCTGGAGTGTTTCTACGTCTATAAGCGGAACGGCAGAGCGAACATCACAGGCATATCCAACTATATAGAGTCCCGTCGCGGTAATGTTGTCTGTGAAAGCCCTAATGATTTAGAGCAGAATATGCCCTACAGTTAGAACGCCTTCCATTGTTATCGGCAGAGAAGAAAAAAATTGTGGTTCAAGTCCACTAAGTAAGTGTCTTCGGAGGTAATCGTGTCCAACTGGAAGCGAAGAAACCCGCTGATGTTCTTCTGACACGACTGGCGCCCTTTTCCTGTCGATGTTGGCTCACACTGGGATATAATGTCATCGAATTCCACAACAATGAGCAATGGTCTTAAGGTAGCCTATGCCTACATATTTACACTTCATTTCCCTGTGAGAAGCATTACAGAAGTGAGTGGAAATTTAATAAGTTGGACATCCTTTCAATGCGAACTTATATCCTCGACGATGCAGCGTTTGAACTAGTGAGCGCAGCAGCAGATGATTATCCTTTTAAACAGGCCGATCTGCCCAGCTTTGCCCGAAACGCATCGCCCTTCCGCCTTGAGTCGTAGGTAATTTTCCGCTCAAAGGATCAAGGCCTTCCACACAAGCAATAAGTTGTGAATGAAGATGGTTAGGAGGCTGCGTTGTGCATCGAATGGTTAGGGCTCACCTTGATAGCCCTAACCGTTTGGTACACAACATACTGCTTACGGGTGTCTCTCTCAATTCATCTACCTACCCGTTGCTCAGTTTCACTCATATTCCCCGTTTCCTGGGCTGCTCCGGATGCGTTTGAGGATTTTTATCCTGCGAGGGCCCCGCCCACTGTGGGCGGAGCTTAGGTTACCTTGTGTGTGCTCTGCAAATGCTGGCCCATGCTAGAAAGATAATCTGTTCTTAGAAACTGTGCAGTGAATTCAACAGAAACTTGAAAAAATGTGCAGTTTTGGAACAGGAGCATTCTCGCGCGCGTACAAACTTTGTATTTCCTAGCTAGTTGGTTTAGTCCACTGCAGCTTTGCCCCGTTGACTAAACTGAGTCCTGAAGCGAGCGAAGCTGCATAGGTGACATCATCTGCGACTCCTCTCTCGCCTGCATTTCGGAATTACTGGACTTTACCAACCTTATGGAGTGTCACTATGCTTTTTTGTGGCACTTTGGCTAGAGATCTTACTGTGCCAACCGATGAAGTGAACATCAAAAAATTGATGATTATGCTCTAAAATTATGCATAAATGACTATTATGCACTGAAATCTCCTCTAACTTTCCATAGTTTCCCCACCACTATTCATTCAGCGCTTTCAGATATCTCGTATTGGAATACATTCTGGCCACGGATCTCAAGCAACATTTTGAAATCATCATGACATTCAATGAAAAGGTACCATTTCAAATTGCATGGAAATACCTCATTTTCAGAGCAGTGAAATGGAATTGCAAAATGAGTCCGATCGCTTATTAATGGCGAAAATGGTAATCAAAATGGCCTGACATCAATAGCCCCACCAAACCGTATGCTCTTCATCGGCAATGGACTGATCGAATCTGTGAAGAATTCTATGAACAGGTTCGGTGGAGCACTCTTGCTAGGCGCTTTTTTCCTCAAATGCACGGTTCTGACAGAGAAGCCTCCATTCGCTGCCTTTATAAAGTATAGTAAAGGAAAAAAACAGGCGCTTTCAAGGCTTTTATTAAATCTCCGTTAACTCGTGCACTGAAATTTTCTTTTCTTGAATGAATTACAACAATAATTATCTGTAGATTACTTGCTGGTCCGTCGGTCTGATGATCAGTGAGCCCATTAAAAATAATAAAAGAGGATATTACTGATTTGTTCCAAGTTTTGTTGGTGCTGCATCGAACCTTCGATAATACCGTGAGTACCTATTCTACAGAAATGCTCGCTGAGTAAATCAGTTGAAAATTAAAAGGATAAA